ATATATATATGTTTATGTTGTGAGTGAGGATGCGCTTGCATTGTTTGTCTTAGGATAAGATTCCAACACTCTTGGTTAGTCGTGGGGCGCATGTTCGTCATAATGCGGACAGGAATGAAACAGCGGGCGTGCATGCGTTGAACAGATTATATGAGTGGATGAAGGTAAACATTAATGAGATAGTAATCGGACTGTGAAAGCGGTTGAAGATAAACGTTGATGGGGTGGTAACCAAACTCTGGTAAAGGGGTCAAAGATAAACGTTGAAAGGATGGTAACCAAACTCTGTTAAAGTGGTCGAAGATAAACGTTGAGGGAATGGTAACCAACAAATCAACTAAGGAACACTGCCTTGGGAGTGCTTGGTTCTATGACCCAGAAATAGGATTGAAGTTCACCTCTGTCTTTCTTCCCGACAAAGTTCCTGGTAATCGGTGGCCTTATTTATGATTTCTTGCAAGCTCAATTAGGATCGACGGGCAGGGTAAGATTTCGTTTGAACAGGTGTTCTTTTGCTTGCGTTTCCAGTCTTCGTCAGTTCTACTAGCGTGCTTGTCCTCACAGCTGGGGTGAACTGGCAGATTCAGTGATAGGTTGATGAAATGGGCGTTTTACTCAGGATCCGAGTTAGTGGTGTAGTCTTTGTTTATCCTCTAATCGTAAAGGAACTTTGTCTATCCACCAAACAGACAATCGGAATTGTCGAATCCGGAGACCTTGTAAATTTGTTGTAGATTTGACGAGTTAACAAAAGTGGATAACGAAAGTTAATAAAAAATCAGATGAATTATAGGTTAGTGTGCAACCGAGAGCAATTTTAATTGTTCTTCCTCCTTCCTGGGCAAAAACTAGTCGCCTGTAGAATTTTCCATGCAAAGCACATGCTATGGGCAATTATCACACCTCCAGGAATCGGTACCGGAGTACTCATAAGACGGATATCGAGTGGGTCACACACGCGTCAGCCTGAGCGAAGGTCACATATGCTCCACAAAGGCTTAAGGGACCTGGTCAAATCGGTTCTGTTTCCACTTTCTTATAAT